GTTGTTGAACCCACATTTAATTTTTTTTAATATCTAGCTAGTAATTTTAAAATTTATTTTTATAAGTAGAAATTTAATCTTACTAAATTTGAAATTGCACAGCTCTTTTCTGCAAGGTATTCTTAAATAAATTAATTTTACATGAAAAGTTGCGAAAATATATATATATATATATATATATATATATACATAATTTTAAAATGTTAAAAGCCATTATAATTCAATTAGGTGCTGAAAATTTGCATTTTATTCAAAGGAGACCACAAAAAATAAAAACAGATCATGCAATTATGCAACAACAATTGAGAATGTGTAACCGAATAATTTTGTCTGAAAGAAAGCGTTCAGAGGTAAAATATAATCAGCGATTGAGTTTCAGTTCCTCGCATATCAAAACCATAACTTGAAACAATTATTAAATTTTTGCAGAATGATTTTAGTAGTTTATTCAGTTTTAGAATACCTTGTTCAGAAATATCTCGCTAGAGTTTAAACACGTTTCGTTTAATATCTCAAACTTTTAGTAAAAATGACTTTAAGCGAGGGAGTGCTTTGTTCTGAATGAAATATTTGGCAGCAAAATTCCCTATCATGATTAATAGTACAATTCAAACTCATTTCATGTTTTACTCAACTTTTCGATAGCTACATGTTTATTGTGTCATAATGTCAAAAAAATTTCGATTTATTATAAGAAAAACAAAATAATAAAATAAAAACATTTGGCTGCGAAATAAAGAAAAAACAATATTTGACTAAACAATAACCATGACTTTCGGCAACAAAAATTTCCTCATTCCATTGAATCTCTCATAGAAAATCGTATATTAATTTTTTTTTTATGTAAATTCAATGCCAACATATTATTTACAAAAAGCTTTTACAATATAAAAATAAAACCATCCCACCTGCCAACTCTGAATGCATAATTATCTTACCTTGATCTGAGACATCTCAATGTAAGACAAGGTGGCATAGATACAAAGATTAGTTTAATTTTATTTTTAAATATAATCAATTTTTATTTATATTTAACTAGTTCAAAGACTTTTTTTTTACATCATTGTTCGAAATTTTGTTGCCAAGTAACAATTAAGCTAATAAACTTTTCGAGAATCAATCGAATAAATTCCTTTGACTTTCTAATATTATAATGAACGTTTCTAAAACATTATTACTCGACATTTCAACGTTCCTCCAACCGACATTTAAGTGACTGCTTATCCAATTTCTAAGTTGATCATTTTGTTCTTTGCTACCCTGTACGTAATCATGAAACTTTCAATATTCTCAAAACATAAATTAAAAGAGAAAAGGAAATAATTATTTTTATATTTATTCATGCCTCCCTTAATATTTCATTTTAAAAATTAAAAGTGACATATTGTACATAAATAGGTTCACAATGTTTAACATAAGGACAATAAGATCGGGAAAAAGCAATCAATTGGCATATTTTTTAAAAGAATTCAATGTGAAATCATTGCACTTATTTTGAATGTCAAAGTTAAAAGTTCAGTTAAATTTTTTTTTTTCAAATCGCATGAAATTAAATTTATTAGGAGGTTTCACATTTTCGTAATAGGGCGAAATATTATGCATTTTTTTTTGTTTAAAAATTAAAAGACATAAATCTGGTATAATATGTTAATCGTTTTGTGTCGACCAAATACTTTTAAGAACAAGAAAAAATCTGTTAAAATCATTTTGAAAAAAGTGAAAATTTTACAATCTTGCTAAAACTTTCTAATTATACCTTGTGTAGTTTTTATTTATAATGTTGCAGATTCTAGTCTTAAATTATTTTGACACAATGTAAACTTTCTCTCAGTAAAACTAAATAAACATCTTATGCAATGAATTTCTACTCTTAACACTTTAAACGAAAATTGCTTGTCCGTTTATGATACTAAAATTGTTATCTGAGAAGCAAATAAATACATTTCAAAGTCAAATAGCTTCGTTATTTTTACGTGAACAGGTAGTTTTTTCTTAAATAATATTAATAATTTTTCTGAAAGATTGGCTTGGTTTTCAATTCATACCAACACGGAAATTAATAGAATATAAAAGGATTTCATTGAAGTAGGAATTGATGCCTACATCAGCAAATATTTTTATATAGTTAATGTTGGGTTCTGTGTACTTGCCATATTAATTTGGTGTCATCACTTTGTATTGTTGTATTGTTGAAGCTTTTCAAATAAAATTGCGTTTTACGTATATTTACTAGGAGCAAATAGATCGGATAAGCGCGCTATTAAAATAACTATACCACAATAACTATCAACGTTGAAACACCCAAAATCCAGATTTCATCTTCGATTTATTGGACACGTATTTACCAATTTAAACAGATACTCTCTTTTTATTGTGCGGAATCACCATACTGCGCTCATCAAAAAGAAAAATATTTTTAAAATAAATAAAAACCAGTTTCAAGTATATGTACTCAACTACATAAAAATTTATTTAACTTCAAATGTTTATTTTCTGCAAAAGCAAATATTTTCAGAAAAATATTATGAAACTACAATTTCGTTAAGAATTTCACCCCCTAACTTAGGCAGAATAAATAAATAATATATTACAAACGTTTAACAATTTTAATCAAAAATAAAAAAAATCACATTGTACAAAAATAATAAAATTAATTTTTTAATTTACTTTTTCCCCCTATATAATAAGTTGTCAGAATAAACTAGAATAACATGAAATTTAGTCTTGTTATCTAAAATAAAAAGTTGCTTATCTTAAAAAAAAAAAAACAAAAGAGTTCAGAAAATTAAATATGAAAAAAAGAGAAGAGGAAATACGAAATAGTATAGATAACGATAAGATAACGGTAAATCTCATTATTTTCACGTTAATATCAAAATTCTAAAGTAAGTAATATAAAATTTGATTTTCTTATCGATTAGTTGTCATCGATTACGTTCTATTTATTTAATCCGTTAATCATTCATAACAACCTTTGAAACTATGTATTGATAAGCTTTTATAATGAAATATTTTGTGTTCTTGAATTGATATTGTATAAGTGAGACGAAAAAGTGAGTGTGTAAGTGAATGAACGCACAAAAGTTTTTTGATATCAAAAAAAAAACACTGGATTAAAAATAAATTTTTCTTTCTTTTAAAGCTTATCGTTATTTTTTCTTTTTATTATATTTTTCCCTCTCTTTTGCTAAAAAGCTATCTTACCGAAATTAAAATGAAATAGGTAACATAAAAAAAAACATAGATAAAACAAAAATATATGTAAAGCGTTTTTCAAAGGAAAGGTAGGAAAAAAAACAAAAACAAAAATAAACGAGAAATATAAAGGAAAAAAAAATTCCAATAATCGTTGTCTTCATCATCAACAAAAATTGCCTTAGCGATGGTTGCTCACCTGTAATTGCTCCGATTTTGTTTATTATTTCTTTTTTTTTCATTTTATTTATTTTTATATTTTGCTTTCTTTTTGTTTTTCAATATTATTTTTATATACATACATACATATACATATTCACATTAAACGATAAAAGTCAAGGTCGTTGCTTACGGTAGTGAAAGAAATTGTACACGAACTCAAAACAATATTGCAAAACAAAACAAAATAAATTGACACTCTGCTTGACAAATGAAAATTACAAGAGCGTTATAACTGAGAATATACGAGTATGCATGCATACATTCGTATGTGAACTTTATTTTTATATAAAATTACACACATATCCATCTATACATATATACGTATTATTACACATACAATAAACATTTCATTATTAGCTATATATGAATTTTATAATTTAATGTCACTTCTGTTTTTTTTTCCTTCTTTATAAATTTGTTTCCGTTCTATTTCATCCTTCTTTGACTTTCTTTTCAAATAAAGTGTAAAATTATATTCCGAAAATTTGCAAAAATATAACAATAATTTTTATATATTATATTTTTTAATAGAGAAAGAGAGAGAGAGAGAAAGAGAAAAGAAAAAAGAAAAATTATAATAAGTAGTTGAAATAAATATTTTTAATTTAAATGTTATGACATTTTATTTAAAAAAATATATACATATATTTTTGAATAATTATTTTTTCTTTATGGAAACAAACGATTTTTAAGTGAAATTTAATTATTTATGCATTATAAATATTTGAAATTAGTGGAAAAATAATTAGATTATTAAAAATATAAAAATGAAATTTAAAGTAATTCGTGTGCACATATTATCAAGGTCGAGAGAAATTATTAATTATTTATTAATTATTTTTTTGCATATTTTATATAAGTTTAACAAAAATTTGATAAAATTAATAAGAAAAAATTTAAAAATTAAATAAAATTATTTGTTGAAATAATTAAAACATAAAAAATAATTTTTATTTTAACAATGAATAAAATTAACATTTAAAATTTTTGATTTAATAATTTAAAAAAAAAATATTTTTATAATTTACATTTGCGGTCAAATAATTTAAATTTTTGAGTACATTTTTATTTTTGACAACAATAGTGGTGAATAACACACCGCTAATATTCTATTTATACACAAAGAGAAAAAAGAATTCATTAAAAAATATCAGAGTAGCTGTAATGCTTTACTGTTATAATAAAAACTTTTACGATATAAAATATTCCGGAATTATCAAATAAAATAATAATAAATAAAATTTTAAAAATTTATCACATAAAGCTTCATTTTTATCACATAATTAGATTATTTTTTTTTTTTGTATTTTTTATCGAATTTTTTTTTGAATAAAACAAAATAAAAAATGAAAAATAACTCCAATCAAGTAATTAGATTAGATTTGCAGTTTAACAATCACATTTTAATTGAATTAAAAGATATATCGTATTTGAAATTTTATTTTTTTTTAGTTAATTTAAAAAAAAAAAGTGTAGTTTTTTAATAATAAAACTTTCATCATATTTTTTAAAAATAAAAATTTTTGTTTTTCTAACGATTTTATTTTATTTAACATTATTTCAATGCTTATTCTATTTTACAGGTTGTGAATCAATAAGTTAAGTGGTTTAATAAAAAAAAACAAAAATAAAAAAAATTATAAATAGAAAAAAAAAGCTTTTCACTATAGGAGAAAAAAAGAAATTATTGATAATTTAATCGCTAAAAAAAATTTTGCTATCAAAATCCAAATATTTAATCAAAAATAAGTTACTTAATAATATTTTGTAGTCATTAATTATTTTTTTAAAAAAAAAAGTATATTGTTAAGTAAAAATAGTTTAAAATCATTAAATGATTTTTTATTGAAAAATTTTTAAATGTACGAATAACCAAAGAAATTGTGGATCAAATTTAAAATTTTTGAAAACAGAAATTGGATTACAAAATGATTTATATAGATGACAACGACCCAGAGGGTGGTAAGTGTGAACCATTCTTTTTTCAATATTATTTAATATAAGTATATATAGTATTTAAATACTGAAACTTTTGGAATAGAAAATTGATTTTTGCGATCTAAAATACAATATCGTATTTATGTATAACAGTGGTATTTCATCTCTTCCCCAATTCACGAAGCTCTTTTACTTTATTTGGTTTATAATGCTATAGAAATTTATTTCATACTTACAAAATATTTAATTATAAATTTTTTTTGTACTTATCATATTTAATTTTTTACTTAAAAAACCGAAACTTATTACAGTACTTTATTACAGTGTTGTCCATATATAAATGTATACATTGCATTAATATTGTATAGTCGAAATATTATATTTATAAAAGTAATTTTCTCGAATTCAGCAATTTTAAAATGTTTAATATTGAATTAGAATTGATTTGAACAAAAAATTAGAATTAAAAATGATAATAATAAATATTCTACATTTTATTCATAATAAAAGTATTCAAATTTAGGTTTTTGTATATGTGGAAGTGTAGTGCATATTGTTTGCAACATTCATATGAAAACCCTTAAAAAACCCTAAATAAACCCCTTGATAAGAAACTTAAAGTTTTGTCAATTCAAAAAATTCAATAAACTTGAAACTTTCGTTTTAATTTCAAACTTTGAAATTGATAATAATTTCACGTTTTTGGTAACAGAACTCAACAGTCATTGAGTGATACTGTATTCAATTCAGCTAATCAGAGTTTGTTGGATGGTTTAGTATTTATATTGTGTTACTGAAATTTAGATTTAAGGATATCACAACCAAATATTTGTAATGAAATCGCAAAATTTGTAAAAACAAAAATTTGTTTATTCTCATTCGACATATTCCAATTTAGTTAGAAAACAAGTAATGCAAAAAATTTAAAATTTCGAGCTCATCAAAAATTCTTTAAATAATTAAAATTAAAATTTTAAAATTTAAAAGCAATTTTAAATATTTAATAAAATTGTCCTTTATTTTGTTTATTATTACTTCCGCTGTTTGAATTAATAGGAAAATTTTAGCATAATTTCAAATTATTTCTAAAAGGTTTTTGAAGGTCTCTCTTTTCAGTACTTTTTCTTTATACTTAAATTTTTAAAATAGTTTTTGGCAAGTTCTGTTTTTTCTTATTATTAAAAAAATACAAAGAAATAAAATTTAAATATTACGAAGAACTTAAGAGTTTCTAAAAATGTAAATACCAAAAAAATATCAAGTTAATGAAAGTTTTGAGCAGTTTCTGTTGGTACTTTACTTATTTCAACTTTTTTTACTTTTTTATGTACAAATAATTAAAAATAAGTACAATGGTATACACAAATAATAAAAATAATATAAAAGCAAAGATTTTTTTATTTAATTTTTATTTTTTAATTAAAAAAAGAAATTGCCAATAAAAGGTCAAAAAACCAATACTTTTAACTGCGCTTTTCAAGATTTCTATATATACATAAAAAAAAACAATAAAAATTGTTTGAAAATAATTTTTCCAATTAGTACAACATTAAATAAATATATGTGAGTATGTATGTCTATATATAAACAATAAAAAACAAGAAGTATGCTTTTTACTCGTTAAAAAATAATTTAAAAAAATTACACCCTTTTTTTATTTTTAAACATAAAAATATTTTCTGTCGCGAAATTTTTTGTCATTATCATTGAGATTTTTCGCAAATTCGGTCATAAAAGTTCACTGATTTATTAAACAAAAAAATGTCCAAATTAAAATAGCTTTAATATAGGGCACCAAGACTATTCAGCATAAAAAATCACTCTATGTATATACAAGACTTCCAAATATGTGACTATTAACAAAAAAACTATAAAATTTGTATTATCTTTAAGCTTTTAAACTTCAACTAACTGACAAGAGAAATCAGAATGTATAACAGACATGACTTATTCAACAACACAATGTAAATCATCATATAAATCTAAATAGATCTTTGGCAGCACATTTCACTGAAAACAAATTTTATAGCGCATGATTCTAAATTTCTGATAATATGGTTCTGATACACAATTTAGATTTTGAAGCGTAATATTTGCATTGTGTAGTAAAGGAGTATTTACGAGTATATTATAATTTTTAAGTTACAGAAATTCCGGTGCATCAATTGCAAGTTTAGAAAATTTAAAAAAAATCATTCTGAAGTATTGCAGATCCAGAGCAGAAATTAAACTGATTAAAGCTATAGAACTTAATTTTAGAAGCCTAGAATTCACCCATAGTTTTCACTTTTTCCTTCAAATTCCCAATATCCCTCGAAATAAACGAAATTTTATTTTTTAATTATTTTTTATCCCTCAGTTATTAAAACTAAAATAACTTTTATGTTTTTTTAATTACAAACCATATGCAAACATGTACTAAATTATTTTTAAGTTTTCAATTTTATTTTCAATTTTTATTTAATAAAAAAAAAATTATGAATAATACAAAAAGTCGGAAACATATAATTAAATTTTTTTTTTGTAATTTTAAATATAGAAAAAAAATTTAATTGAAAACAATAATTTTTTTTTGCAAAACTATCATCGCTTCATTGAGATTTTTTGTATAATTTTTTTTAATATAGCTTTCTCTATTTTGTTTTTCTTTCGTTTAACCGCCGCCTATCGGATGAATCATAAAACATTAAATAAAAATTTTCATACTTTTTAAACAGCACGGGAATGTGAACACGTCATTTAGTAAAAATTTTTTCTTGTTGTTTTTTTATTTTCTATTCGAAAAATACAAAAGAATCATTATTTTTTGAAATCAACAAAAAACCATTTTTTTTTTGGATTATTTCCAAATATTCTGTTACAAAAAACCTAAAAAAAAAATATAAAACATTCTCTATCTCTTTTTCTCTCTTAACCTTAAAAATATCTTTTAGTCTACATTATTTAAAGTTTTCAAATGCTTTCAATATGGCCCGAAAAATATTTTGAATATGTTCGACAAAATGACTGTTGCCTCTATATGTATACACATACAAATAACAAACATTTTGTATATACATTGTAAGTTATCACTGAATGTTAAATAAGTTGTCAAATGGAATGCGTTGGTGTTTTAAAAATCACAAATTGTTTTACGTGTCACACATCATTTTTTAAAAATTTTTAAAAGAAAAAATAGAAGTTTTGTACAGGAATTTCTTTTTTCTTTCTCAATAAAAATTTTTTTCCTTAAAAGTAGCCAGATCTTTTTAAATAAATTTAAAATTAATCTAATTTCAGATACTTACGAGAGAAAAAAAATATTTTTTTTATATCTATATTTATAGACTTGCACAAACATACTACAAAACTATTTTTTGGCAAAAAAAAACTCAAAAAAAAAAGGAAACTTTTGAAATAATCACAAAAATGATTTGTGCACATGCATTCATATAAATGTACTTGAAATTGAATGAAAATCGGTCTAAATTTGAATTAATTTGAATTTGAAAAATTTAAAATTTTGAATATTTTATAGAATAATTTACGTAGGAAATAGAAAATATTTAAATACAATTATAATTTTTTTCATATTTATACCTTAAACTTATAAAGGAAATTACACCTTATATAATATTTACAGGGTGGTGTTACAAATAATTGTTTAATAAAAGAATTCGCCTCATTGCAGAAATTAAAATTAGAGAACGATTTGCTATCAATATTAAATATAAATTATTAAGAGAATATTTTTGGAACTTATTAATGACTTTCTTTAAATGAAAATTTAAAGAAAAACTACAGACCAAGTTTTGCCCTTTCCGAAACTTGAAGAATTTAAACATTTGAACACTTTAAAAACATTTTTTTTTTCTGAAAACCTTCCCTTTATCACATTTTCTTAATTTCGTAAAATATTCATTGCATACTTTTGGGCGAACAATAATTTAAATTATTATAGTAATATATTATAAGTATGTATTATAACTTGATAAATCTTATAATTATAAAAGTATGGAATACCGGAAATTGAAATTGTGGCAATTTTGAAAATTCAAAAGAACAGCAAAATAAATTTGTTCCGACAAAATGAACCATTCATTAATGTTTTAAGATTGTTAAAATTTTGAAATTCTATAGTTACCACCTAAACTGAAGAAACAAACAAAAATTCTAGTAAAATATCTTTCTTCCAAAAATTTGATTATGTATAGAATTCAAATTTCATCGTTAAGAACATTCAAAAAGTTTTTTCCATAGATTCCTGAACGGACGAATGGATGAATGAATAAATGAATTATTTGTTCATTTTGTAAGTATATAGACGAAATAAAATATCTTTATATTAATCTAACTAAATTTCAAATCTCCCTGTATCATACTTCTCACATACATCTACATATTTTAAAACTTTTTGTTAAACGAATTTTAATTAAAAATTTTGTGAAATTAAAAAAATTCTTGGCTAAAATTTAAATAGATTAATGGCGCCGTAATTTTTCTCAACTTTTAACTATAAATATAAGTACAATATGTGTATTATACCTAGATACAACGAAATGTACATATGTAGGACGGAACTATTATATTGCACTTTAATATCTGCATCTATATAGCTATGTACAAATGTGTTTTTAGTCCAACCCAAAATTGTACAACATTTATTCAAATATTGCACAAATACCTATACTTACATACACAAATATTTGAATGAATATTTTGAAAACGTGACCATTAAATTAAAAAATTTATTTCAGATGTCAAAATCTATTAAAAGAAATTATTCTTAAAAAAAAAATTTTTTTTTTTAATTTTCTTTCTTGTTTTAATTATTAAATTTTAATTCTTTTTTTTCCGAAAAATAAATTTTCAAAATGATAAATGTTTGATCAACGTAACACAAAATGTATGTATATAATAAATATTGTAGTCTTAAACATATTTTTGTCTCAAAATTAAAATTCTTTCATATTTTCAAAAGATGAAGGTTATCCAGCCTATAAAACTATAATAATAAAAAATATTAAAACATAATTTTAAAAAAA